TAATGTATCATATGATTCTGTTTTTTGCAGCAGGAAAGAGAAGAATTTTATTTACAGATATTCCAACACTTCTAGGAGGCCAATCGAGGTACACAGCGACAAAATAATTCTGTTAATTAAGAAGTCGAACCACATCAGAGCCAGCGAAAGCAGAACCCGTAAAGATTGCATTGGCTGAATCAACGCTTCCGCAACGTGGAGCTTAATTAACTGCATAATCGGTGGCCACGGAACCAGTTCATTTATGCAATAATTATAAACATATAAGAGCCATGTGAGAATGATCACGTGATAAAGAGGAAAACTCAATTTTCTCAAACTGATGAATAGGATAAGAAAGCTTTCATGGGTATTATTATGTTGCCTTTACGTCTGGTGGAGTACAACTGGAAACGTCGCTCGATTGGACCTACTCTTGGAAACAGAAAGATTTGAAATGACAATGCAAGACCAAGTGTATTTATGAAAATCTTGGGAAAACATCTCGGATAATCACAGAATGTGTGGCAACAGAATGGAGTCGATACAACATATTTGATATTTCTGGTTATTCTGTTTTAGCCAATACCAAGTACTTCAGACGGCACTGAGTGTCGCAGCGATCATGCAACAGCAACTGGCTATTGAAAAAGGCTCAATCTCAGAAGTTTCGCCGTACTATCGATACCATACCATCCAGTGAGTGGCTCGAGGACGACAAATATACTGTCCATTTTGGCCACCGTACAGTCACTGATAGTGCCGGTGATCAAAATCGTCCAGACATACTAATCTTGGGCGAAAAGAACAAAACAACTGAAATTACTGAAATCAGTGGGTGACACTGTGCAAAAACATGGGTTGAGAAAATAAAAATATGCTAAAATTTGAGTACCAGTCTAAGCAAGCGTATCAGTTCAAGGTTTGTAACAGCACCACTTGTCATCTCTGTAAATGAAGACCAACCTAGACCACCTGAAAATCACGGTAATGTTACTATAAAAAAAGTGTCAGAAAGATGTTTTGAATACCCACCAGTATGGTCTCAGAATAGGTAAAACAGCGCTTTAAAAAAAGGGAAAATGGTTTACGTCATAGAGCTCAGCATAAGATGGAAAAAAGCGTAGAATAGAATTTACAGTCAGGTTTGGATTCCTACATAAAGAATATACGCAAAATTCCATAGTTTAGGTTTATCAATAATCGATCTTTAATGTTCCTGTCTCATGGATTAGGCATCCGCTACACCATAGAATCGCATGGGTTACCGTCAAGAGTGATAATCCGTCCATACAGGACGGAATCAATTCCCATTCAATCCAAACCGGTCATTTGTGGTTTCCACTGCATTACTTCTTAAGCCCCAGCGTAAGCCTAAGCCGTTAGGCAAACTGAAAGCTGCAAGAGACAACGTATAAGTTTAGAGCTAGGAGAGGCTATATGATAATGTGCGAAACCGATGCATGACTGGTTTGGACTGAACCGTTAATCAGCATCAGCACTAATCCATACTGGCAGAGAAGAATCACCACTATGGACGAGAAGACATACACCAAAATAGTCACATAAACAGCAGTTAATCTAGTTTAACAAAAATGATCATAAATGCCGGACTTTCATGACAGTTCTGCCCAGAAACGAGACACTGACTACAAACCATGATGGAAGAACGGAGTTCACCTAAAGCATGGACTGCGGATCGTCAAGTCGTCATTTTCGTCGAATCGTCAAGGACGCAAACCGGACGACGCTTCATGATGATGCATGGAAATTGACAAACAGAATTCTTTTTGACTTGGATGATCCAGAGTGGAAAAACTAGCAAACTTCTTCGCCAAACTTCTACTCTATGTCTCAATGTATTTGCACATAGAATGTCATCGTCTTCTTGCAAATCCGACCGGCAAAAGGCCCAGGGGACGGCCAATATTAACCTGGTGCAAACATATGGAAGGAGTCTGTTCCAGGCACTATTTATCTTTTGTCGTAGCTCAGACTCTGGCATAGGATCGGGAACGTTGGAAGCAATGTCTGACGCGTCTGCCTCCGCGACCCGAAAGGAGAAGCGGTGATAGAAGATGAAATGAAAATGAAATGTCATCGTCATACGGCTGTAGAAACGGAAGCTCTTTGAAACAGGCATACGACACTGTTTCCTAAGCCGAAGCCATATTTTCATTCAGCTGTTCTAATGCTATAGTATCTACAATCAAAAAATGCGGTTTTTCCTATTCTGATAGGCTTCTCTGGCTAGGTACTTAAGGACTTAATAACTGTCCATGACGTCTGCAACGTAAGGTTACTCATCTTTGATTATTCTGAAGAAAGTTAACTTTATTTTATCCATCGCTGGTTAGGTGGGCAGTGATACATTATCAATCTCCTCTCCTATAATTTGGCTGACTTCAAGCCTCAAAGCAAGGCCATCAGTCCCTCTTTGGCTCGGCAGCCTGACACTTTCACATTATGACCGAACCTGACACATAAGACTCTCCGCGATCGTTACTATCAAGCAGCCAGGGCAATCTCTGTGTCGCTTTAAAGCGCTGAAGTAGAATTTTGCAGTAGATGCCGAAAGAAAACCGGAGACAGACTATGCACTAAAGTGACCACGCAATACTGCATCATCAGCGACATGAAAGAACGGAAATCACGTATCATTGACTTGATTCTACTATCAGAGTAGCTGACATCCAATCGATTATCGACTTTTCTACCCTTTTCTTTTTTCGCCTCAAATAAAACATTATAACTCATGGCCGCGTTGATCAGTTGCCATGTCGTCGTGCCGTACATTTCGAGCCAAATTAATCACTTCCTGGGGAAGTAGCAAAGTTGCTGAACTCATTTTGCGATGCCTCGATTGCTGATTGCTGAAATCAACCGTTGATAACCGGCTGGTAGCTCGGTGCAGCTCCTGCATCCGCGGCAGTCAATTAAATAAATATTGATCTGACCGGCATCAGCTATAGCATTTGATTAAGGCAACAAATCGAGCCAAGCACAAACATACAGCTGCAGTTTTGATCCCAATCAGTATTTCATTATTTCGTAAATTCAGAGATTCGTGAACTTACCCTAATGACGGTAGGGTGTTGAAGCTGGTGGAACAAGAGTATTTCCTTGACAAACTTGTCGGCGACTCTCGCGTAGCAATCTTCCTCCATGTGCCGTTGGCAGTCCCTCATATCGTGCCCGTCGAAGTCGACCACTTTCAAGGCGACCTCTGTTCCGTTCAGCCTCGCTCGGTAGACGGCCTTGGTCCAGCCGGAGGCGCGGAAGTCGACGATTGACAACTCGTTCCAAATCCGACCACAGTCTAGCGACGAGACGGCAATCGGTTGGAAGCCAGGGGTCAGTGCCAGTGAGTGGCTGCTGTGTTGCCGTCTTTTCAGTCGCCATTCGTTGCCAGTATTCACGTCGAAGAACATTTCTTTGGTCGTCAGCGAGTCGGTACTGAATGAAGATTCAGGTCTTGATGTTGAACCATTGGCCGTTTGCCAAGACATGATCCCCCGAAAGAGCTGCTCGACCGCGAAGCAAAACACGATGCTCACCATCAGCACCGCAATAACCACTAACGCTGGAGTGCCGCTGACCGGTGTCGACACGGGACGATGATGGATGGCCATCGTCAGCTGCACTGGCGGCGACCCATCGTTCTGACAGTGACGCATTACCTACACCAGCAACCGACTTTCAGGCCGTTGCCATACCTGAAAAACACGGCGAGGCAAGATCAACGTTGTGCATCGATGACGAAGCAGCACGCGATTAGCAATTCTACTGCACGGACAATAAAAACAAAAGCCAAAGCATCATCAGGCAACCTATATGGAGATGAGCCCATTGCGGCAGCCAACCACGGGCAGACGGCTAAAGAAATGCTTAGGCTAACCAGACGAGAAAGCGACCAAAAGCAAAACGTCATTCATAAAAAGAAACAAAACATCCTATCCGGAGGCGAGCTCTTCCAAACATATGCTGACGAAGTGTTCAGAGTAGTCAGGGAACAGGAGGCCATTGGCAGACGATAATTCGGTGAAAAAGAAAACAAAAAAATAGCCCTGGAGATGATCTTTTGCAGAGGCCAAGTTGGGCATCTAACGTGGTGGTCGCTGTTGAACGACCAACGGAAATACTTTGTACCGGTCGCATTGTCAGTTGGACCATTAATACGGCCATATTTCAACTTGATCACCCTCTCGACGGCCTCCGACAACGGCACATATGAAATATGGCTCGTCAGCCGGCGTCAGCGCAGCTGCAGTCGACAGAGAAGTAGCCATCGATCCAGTAGAGGGCGGACGCTGAGCAGATGCTTGAATGAACACGAAGGCGTGAAGAGTTCGAAAATTAAGTGCTAACCGACACGTCACTTAGCGAAGGAGGCCTGCAGTGGTGACGGTGGTCAGCGGATAGCCGCCATCAACCTTGTTCGACCAAACCTAGAGGGTGCTGCGCTGCGCCGCGCCGCGCCGCGCCTGACCTCCACGTACGACGTATGGAAGCTGGATGTGTGGATGCATGTGCCCAAGAGTGCACTGCAGCAGTTGATCGAATGCGCACAATTGACGGATGACGTGATTTAGAGATTTAACGAAATTTCAGCCCAAAAAACCCCCTTTCCACTTGCCGGTTTTTCGCCCGTTCGAAGATCTCTGCGACGACGCACCGACGGACGTCGAGTAAACATGTTCCTCGTTACGAGGCGGTTACGATCCTGCAGGGTCGATCCCCCTCCCTTTACCGTTGAGCTTTCGCTGCATGCCAACCAAATAAAAACCGTCGCGATTGCCGCTGTCGAAGGGAAGTAAATCACCTCAAGCAGATCGGACCACCTCAGATATGAAGTGAAGGACAGGTGATTTTAAGGAAAAGCACCTTCCCACTAAACTTACAGGTAGCCGGAGAAGCGAATTAGCGAGATGCACTTTTAAAAAAAAAAGACACGAACCGGTGTGAAATTTCTATCCCGACACTTGTGCGGAAATGTGCCAGGCAGATCATCACGAAAGAGCTCGACAAGATCGAAAACCAGTTGGGCTCTGTGCCCGGTCAATTAGCAGCATGTGCAGTCTTTGCAGAAAAGTCGGTTGCGAACATACGCTGAAAATGCAGCAGGGCAAGAACAGTGAGATAGTTGTTTCAGACCTTGAAATGGTTTCTAGTAAAATACCAAGGGCAAAGTTCGGCGCAGGATGATACAACGGGTGCCAGAAAATAGGTTAGTCGTACCTAAAACGGGTGCGATGGAGGTCGCAACGACAATCCACAGTGCATGTTCTGAAAAGGGAGAATTTTCTGCGAGGGGAGGAGTCCAACAGCGATCAGCTTAAGTCCATTTCCGTTCTCGACGGCGACAGAAGCGGTAATTAAGGATCTGCTGGAAAGAGTCCGTATTTCATGCTGTTTGCAGATGACGTAGTGCTGAATGTCGAAAGCAGAAAAAGAGTAGAAACTATGGAGCAGAGAGGCAACACAAAGCAGAACGAACAGAAACGGTATCAACGATTTGGTGAATGTGAAAAGCCCAGCACTTAAATGCGTTGATTCCATCATAAAGGACAACTGAGAAATCGATAGGAAATTAAGAAGTTCGTCAAAAAAAGATTTGGTGTAAACGCAGTAAAGCGAATGTTGTGTTCTTTAGTAAAAATGCTCATAAAACTAAAGAAAACTCACTCAACAGTACTAAAACCTTTATTGATGTACGCAACTGAAAGTCAGGCAAATTTGAAAATACGTGGGCAACAGCAGAAAACTTCACTGAAATGTGAATGCTCAGACGGAAGAAGGTCTATATCCGGAATACTTTCATAATTGATTCACTAAATTTAGCCCCATTAAGAGGAAGACTGAGTGAAAGGGAGTTATTACAGTGATTCGAGGAAGTAAAGAAGACCGGAGGAACGCAGAATCTGGTCAACATTCAGATACTACGACGCAAGAGAAGAATGTGAAGGTCATCAAAGAAACTACAGAGGACTGGTATATGAAAGAAATTGACTAGAGGCATCGATTTCTGTTCAGAAGATAAAAGGAAGAAGCACAAGCAGAAGTGCAAGAAGAATAGCTTTTGACATGAGAAACAAAAACAGCAAGAAGAGCATCAAGGAGGCCACACAAGAATGACAGAGATGCTCAAAAGACCACCAACGACATCACTACTTCGTTTCCACTGGAAGCACTACCAGGCAGGAGTTGCTTGGATGAACGGTTAGTGAATGGATGAACGGCCAAATAGTTAAACTTTCCCACTGTGATACGGTCGAAGTTGCAAATAAAGTAAAAATAGTTAAACGTACTTCACTACATACATTAACGTGTTATAAATCAGCAGTGATCGTTCTTGTTTAGCCTTGTTTTCGACAAGTTAGTCATTGATCTACGCCTAAGAAAAGCTGTAAACGTTCTCTGCAGAAAACTATCGCTGATCCCGCTTGAGTACTTAGCAACGATTCCAAAACTGGTCGGATTTAAACCATGCTGTTTAGAGCCATTCATCA